CAGAGCGATGGGCAGTCCTGGGGCAAGGGGGACAGGCTGAGCCCCTCATCCTCCGGGGACCCGGTGCCTCCTTCGAGATGGAGACAACACCTCTTTGGCTTGTGCTTGCTGCAAGCCCCAGCAAAGCCTCCCAGAGCCTGGTGCCTGGGTTTCCCACACTGATTTTCCAGGGTATTATGCTGCTCCTAATGATCAATTAAAGCAAATTGGCCAGTCCCGCAGGCCCCTAAATCCTGGCTAATCCCTGGCACCTTCCCTAACTCCCACTGCTCATTCATTATGTGGCAGTCCCCTGGGTGGAAGTGTTTACTCCAAGCGTGGCTCTTCCTACACAAAAGCCGCCTGGGTCCCTGGGCTGTTTGTCTGGGTTTGAGAACTTGCTGTTTCTAATTGTTTTATTTGCTCCGGTGCTGTTTGCTCTGAATGAGTCTCCCTTTCTTGGCAGGAATGAGGAAGTTCACTTTCTTGGGAACATTTTACTGCTTAGCAGCCTCCTTATGGCCTCTCATAGATCCCATTAACCTTGCAAGGGAGCAATCACAACAGCTCTGGCATGGGCAGTCAGGAAGAGTCTCAGGTTTTCTGTGTGTCTGGTGCAGCTTTCCCCCTCCTGCGTGACCCAGCCGGTTTCCTCCTTCCTCAGCTCCTCTTGTAACAGATGCAGTCATTTGACATCACCTCCCGTTTAAAGCAACTCTCATGCCATCTCCTTCCCTCTCTTCTGCTCCTCTGTGTTCGGCTCCTTGAGGCTCCATCCTTCCTGTGAAGCTGAAACCCTTTTGTGCCTGTGCAGCAGCAGCTCCCACCACGGTCCCAGCGCTGGGAGGTGTCTATCCAGAGGGCTGTCCCAGCACACAAAACCACCTCGCTGTGGGGACAAGGCTGGGGCTCCCATGTGGTGATCCATAGCAGGCTGCAGGCAGATGGATCCTCTCTGGGCTCAGTGAAAGGACAGCGGTGCTGCAGCTCCCCAAGCACGACACCCCTCTGCCACATGCAGGGATCTTAAGGGACAGCTGGAAGAGAGCATTTGACCAAGCTGCTGCCCACAGGCCACCAACCGTGTAGGTGGCCAGTGATGCTGTGGTCCATGAGGATGCAGGAAGGACACCTGAGGGTGCAGAGGAGGACCCACCCCGTCAGGCCCCCCGAGGCAGGCAGGGAGAGGTGCGGTGCCCAGGGCTGGCAGTGCCGCTGCCTCAGCCCAGTCTCTGGTGCTCCCAGCACGCCGGGGCCGCTGCAGCCCCGCTGCCAGGCAGCTGTTGCTGTTGTTTCACTTCCTGACACCGGCAAACACCGGGCGCTGGGCAACCACAAACCACCGGGGAACGTGGGGTACCCCCCTCAGCACCCCTGCCCTAGGCCTCCGCACCGCCAGCAGCCCCGTCCCTATGGCACGCAGCCCCTGCCCTCAGCAGCGGGCTGGGCTCCTGCTCCAGCAGGTCTCCATCCCACCTCAGTGGGGCTGTGGGGATGACAGGGGTGCCAGTGCAGCGATGGTGAAGGGCACGGCTGCAGTGTGCCAGCACTGGGCCGGTTTGCCAGCAGCAATGCCAGAGCCTGGTCCTGGCACAGGTGTGCTCTGAAACAGCTCCCCTTCAGCCTCATTCTGGCTCCCCACAACCCCATCCCCAGCTGGGAACCATCTGTAGGAGCATGGGGGCTCCACCTGTCCCTGTCCTGGGGAAAGCAGCTTCCCAGGGGACCAGGAACACTGCAGAGGGGAAACTGAGGCATGGCAGGAAGGCAGGAGCTGCCGAGCTGCAGGGAAGGAGGTGGGGTGCACACAGAACCCCGGCTCTGAGCATCCCCCCGGCCCTCAGCCACCTCCTGGGCTCCTGTGCAGCCCTTGCCGACCCTTGCACAGACTCCAGGCAGGTCTTGCTCCTGCCATGCACAGATCCCCACTGCACGGAGCCACCACTTGCTCGCCGCTGGCAGCCAGGACTTGTGCTGCTCTCCATCAGAAACCTGTTCTGTAACACGGCTTTCTCTTCCCCAGGGGTCCCAGCCAGCCTGAAGTGGGCTAACCCCAGCCTGGCTAACCACGGTGCTGATCCGGATCCATGCGGGGAACGATCTGGGCTTCCTGGGCTGCATGGAAAATCCCAGCCACTGGTTCATCTGGAGGCTCCCGCGGGGCTGGGCTGGGCTGGGCTGGGACACAACGTTCAGGAGCAGCAGGAACACTTGCATAAGGCCGACTCCTTTGGCTGCAGCTGTCTTCCCACATGGGTTCTGGCAATGCGGAGCCCGGTGGGAGAGAGCAGGAGCGTGCAGGGCTGAGGGGAGTCACCCCACATACACCTGACCCCCGGGTGGATCTCCAAACCGGAAAGAGGGAAAGCGTTTTCATCCCAGCCCCCTTCCCCTTCCATCCCCATCTCATCGCCATCCCTCACTCATCCTCATCCTCCCCACACCCCCAGCCCATTCCCACCCCACAAGAGCCCTGGTCCAAGGGGAAGGTGTGGGTGCGCAATCATCCTCCTCCCAGCGCCCCATCTGCACAGCCGGGGCAGGTCGGGGGTGCCGGGTACGATGTGGAGCCGGGGGGCTGAGCCGGGCAGCCTCACGCCGGAGCCCGGCCCTGCGCGGCCGCTTCGGGCTCTTTCCAAACCAGCGCTTTCTTAGAAGCTTCCTGCTGTGGCCCTTGGCCCTCGGAGCGCAACCGGCACAGCGTTAACCCCGCAATGCCCACGGCCCCGCCGCACGGCCCCGCCAAGCAGGGCAGGGGGAGCTGGGGCTGCTCCGCCGGTGCTGCGTGCGCTCTGCCTCCTGATGGAGGCTGGTGGGGGACCTGGGGTGCCCTCAGCGCCCTCAAACCCAGGCCCTGGAGGCAGAGAGCCAGGGAGCTCGGAGCCAGGGCACAGATGGGCCCTAATCGCTTTGGGGGCTGCACAATGTACCCCATCCTCCAGGGGCTGGGGGACGTGGCATACAGACAGAATGGGAGGTCTGGGAAGGGTGTTTCCAAGCCTTTTCCATAACCAGAGGGTCTGGGAAGGATACAGGGTGCCTTTGTGCACTGTAGTGGTGTCAGAAGACCTCCTACAGCCCCAGAAGCAGCAGTAGCTGGGGAGCAGGCTCTGTGCATGCCAGGGATGGGGGGCAGCCCCTTTCCCATGGCTGCTGCACCCCATCTGTGCTGGGTGCTGGGCCCAGGGGTTCAAGTCCTGCCCCAGGAGCAGCTTCCAGCACAGCCCCGGGGCTGGGCTCAGCCCTGCAGCTTGGCAGTGGCTGTGCCCACAGCAGGGTGGCATTTCTGGTGCCATTGGCTGGCACAGTGTCACACCACGCCAGGGGCAGGCTGTGGAGGGAGGCTGAGTCAGAGCAAGCGGTTTGGGATGGTTGGGTCTGATGAGCAGGGTCTGCTGGGTGCCATCACCCCCTGCACAAGGCATGCAAGGACTGCGGGGCACCCCAGAGCCATTGGGAGGGAGCAGAGGATGAGACAACGCAGCAAACAGGGCTCCAGTCTCTCAAATGCAGCTGTGTTTGAGGTGCAGCAAGGCCAGATAGGGCACAGAGCCATCACTGCAGCCCAGACCTTCCCCAGTGCAGAAGGATGGGCAGAGAACAGACAACTCCCCAGGAGCTGGGAGCCCAGGAGCACCCCAAACATCCCCTGCAGTGAAATGGGCAGTGCAAACACAGCTGGCACCCCCCTGCCCTGGGGAGCAGCCCCTCCTGGAGGGGCTGTCCCACCCTGGGACTGGCAGCACTGGGGGTGCCCCTGCAGCTTGCTGCAGTGCCTGCATGTGCAAGGGACGTGCATGTACATGGTATGGGGGTCTCTGAACCTGCTTGTACACACAAGAGTGCAGCAGGGAAAGCAACCACACACAGTATTTGCACTCAAGCTGCCTGTGCGAGGCTGCAGCTGTGTCCCAGCACCGGGCAGGCAGGACAGGGAGGGGAGAGACACGGTAACGGTTTTGAGCCTCACAGCTTGTGTTTTGCTGTTTATGTGCTGTTTCCAGGGCTCCAACCACCCAGCGCTGCCCAGACTCACTCTGGGCGGGGGCTGAGCCACCCACATCAGGGCAGGGATCTGACATACGGTGAAGCAGCAGCAGCAACACGGGGCAGCAGCAGTGCAAAGCAGCACTGCCAGCAGAGCAAGGCACATCAGCTACCCCAGGCCTGGGGCACTTCCAGCCCCTTCACTGCACTGGGGACACCTCCAGCTGCCCCAGGAGTCACATCCAGAGTATGAAGCCTCAGAAGACACTGCAGCTTAAAGCATCCTGCCAGAGCAGGGCTCTGCTCACAGACCTCCTGGCACCCAGCAGCCTTAAGAGCTCACCCAGACACCATACCCACACACCACCCCAGAGATGGAAGGGGTCCCTTTTTCCCCCTCTTCTACCTGCCCCCTGGGGTTGACTCCAAGGCTGGCTGTACCTTAGGAGAGCACTGGGGCACCCCCAGCCCCTGTTCAGCTCTGCTCTATCAGCTGACACATCCTCTGACCCTCACACCATGTTCCATGAACAGATCAATGAAACAGCAGAACAAAAACACAGAGAATGTGCAGAGCTGGGTGTGCAAAGGGCTCTGTGCAGCCCGAGAGCAGCCTCCTCCCTGCTCACACCCCTGGTCACAGCCATGAACCCAAGGACAGTGACCTCTAGGCTCGGGGCTCCTTTCCCTACTGCATACCTAGCCCCTTGAAGGGACCTCCTGCTCACATCACCAAAAGCCCATCTTGGCTGAAGCAGAGCTGTCCAGAGGAGACTGATCCCCCAGCAGGTTTGCAGCAGTGTGCTCACCAGTCCCATCCCAGCAAGCCCCATGCCCCAGTGCCCCAAGCTATCCCGTTCCTGGCCACACACACACAGCTTAGGGCGCACATTTGTATAAAAAGTAAAGTTTATTGCCATTTCTACCTAGATTTACACAACTGTGTTACCACTTGTGACGTCAAGAGAGACGTCCCGTCGCTTCCCAGGGGGCTGGCCAGGGAAGGTGGGGAGCAGAGGCCAGCTCCCGGAGTGCAGCCCCTGTCGTGGCTCTGCTCCACAGTCCGCATCCTCGCAGGGCTGCCGCACGGCTCTAACACAGTGGATGCCAGGGAGGGTGAATCTATCCCCTCCTTTGTTCCACCTGCAGTGCTGGCCACCCCATTCCAGCTGCTCATGAATCCAGTCCTGCCTGGAACACCCCAGCTGCAGAGGTGGGCATGGCTGGCCCAGGGCACCCCACAGCCTTGTGGGCACCACTCATGCACGTGTTTATACAGAGATACAGCTACAAACGATGCCCGAACTAATAACCAAGCTTTTCTCCTTGTAATCCCCACACTGATGTGCGTACAGCCATGCACTACGCTGCAGCTGCCACCACTGGCACTGCTCAGGTCAGGTCGGGGTTCCAGCACGCTTCAGGGTGGCTGGTGGGACAAGCCTGCATTGCTCGCTGAACAAGGTCTTCCTCCAACATCGGGCTTTGCCAGACAGAAGCACCCCCTGCACGGTGCAGAGGCACGGACGCGGCGCACGCTCCTTCCATCCCTGCATTCCCATTCACCTGCCAGCAGCCGCCTGGCACTGCCGGGGTGTTGCGATGCCCAGGTTCCCATCAATGTGCCCTGGCACACGGCGGTGGTTGGGTCTCCCCACAGAGGAGCATCCCGGTGCGGGACGCGCTGCTGGCTCCAACGGCCGGCCAGGGTCACCCGGGGGGACACGGCTCCGTGCCGGGGTCTGGCAGTCCTTCGTGTGAGATGAAGGTGGAATCAATTTGGCAGGAGATTAAGTAGAAAGAGTTCTGTGGCTCTGCCCACCCCAAGGACAGAGCCACCTTACACCGCAGAGCCCCCTGAGTGCTGGGCTGGGGCAGCCGCTCCGGGGCTCTGATCCTCGGGGCACAGGACCTCGGTGGGGAGCCGGGACTGGAACTTCTCCAGCTGCTCGGGGCTCGCCAGGGTCTTCAGGAGGCTGTTCTCACGCTCCAGCTGGGAGTTCTTCTCCAGCAGTTCTTTAATTTGCTCTTTCAGGACCTCCACTTCCTCCCGCACTGCATACATCAGGTGATTTTTAACCAGATCCTGCAAATGGCCGTTGGAGGGAATGATCATCCACTGATCTCCTGAGCACTATGCCCTTGGGCTTTCGCACATTCTGCCACTAGCCAAGGGCCGCAAAGGCTTTTCCCAAAGGCTGTCCCCCCCCTCCGCATCCTCAGCACTCTGGTGTAACCCCCCGTGGCCAGCATCCACAGCATCCCTCAGGTCCCCTGTCTCCCAGGTCTCACTGCCTCAGGATGCACCCCTCGGGGGTCGGGCAGGCTGCAGTTCCCTATCACCAATGCGACCCGGCTCGGGTACCCTCACAGCCCTGAGGGTCCTGCCCAGGCCCCCCCGGCTCCCTGCGCACTGCGGCGTTACCGGAGCCAATAAGCGGAGCAGCCGCGAGGGCAGACAAAGGAGCTGCTCTGCCCAGCAAGCGGCTGGGGAGCCAAGACCCTCCTCTGGAGAGCGAATCCACCCGCAGAGCGGGGAACGCCTTCGGACAGAGCCCCCAGCACCCATCCCGGGAGTGAGGGTCCCCTCGGGCAAAAGTGCCCGGGGAAGGTGGGGAGGATGGGCACTGCAGCTCACCATTGCCTGCTCGATCTTGTTATCGATGGCCACCACGCTGGCTCCGGAGGCGCTGGAAGAGAGCAAAGAGGACAGTGTTAGCAGCAAAGAACCCCCTTCCCGGGACACCCCCACCCTGCCTACACCGCACCGGCGCTTCTCCCTCATTGGGGAATCAATGCATGTGGACACCTCCCCTCCCCATTCACCCCATCTCCGGCGGGAGGGATACCGATACGACGGCCGGTACCGTGGCTGCCCCTACCTGTTATCGAGCTTCACAGAGATCACGTCGCCCCCGAGCAGGGAGGAGAAAAAGGAGATGGAGAAGTTGTGGAGCTGATAGACAGCCACCTCCATGGGGGACTGGTACATGCCGGTGCTCATGGCTGCGGAAGGACCCCAAACGAAGTGCAGACAGCAGACGCACTGCGGCTCAGCCCCGCCGCTCCGCTTATATCCCCCGGGTCCGCCCCGTCGGGCGGTGCCAGAGCCAATGGGCCCGCCTAGCGCCCCACAGCGCCGCGTCCGGCGCCGCACCCTGTGCTCCATTACTACACCCTGTACCCCCGTACTGCACCCCGCACCCCGCTACCGCGCCTCTGTGCCTCCCCGTTGCACCCCAGCGCAGCACGGCAGCCTCTCACTGCAGAAATTACCCCCCCCTGCATAGTGTCCTCGCGTCCGTGCTCCCCTTGTTTGCTGCGACCAGAGTACTGGCGCCCCAAGGCACCAATCCCTGCACGCCTCATCTCCACCTTCCTGCGCTCCCCAAGTAACCGCGATAGGGGTTCACCCGTGGGGGGGTCTGCTTAGGGGACGGGAAGAGGAGGAAACACTTTGAATGTGGGGTGCGCGGGCCCGCAGATCCCACACCGCAGCGCAGGGGGGGTGGCAGAAGAGAGAGGGGCAGCCACGGGCTTGCAAAGCGAAAACGGGAGCGGGAAAACAATAGGGGCGCGCAAAAGAAACCAGTGAGCGAACCACAGCCCCACCGCGCAAATCGAACCGGGTACAAACCAAACAGGGTTCAAAACAAACCGGGTACAAAACAAATCGGGTACAAACCAAACCGGGCACAAAACAAACCGGGTACAAAACAAACCGGGTACAAACCAAACCGGGCACAAAACAAACCGGGTACAAACCAAACCGGGTTCAAAACAAACCGGGCACAAACCAAACCGGGCACAAAACAAATCGGGTTCAAAACAAACCGGGTACAAATCGAACCGGGTACAAAACAAACGGGGTTCAAAACAAACCGAAGTGCAAAACAACCCCGACCCCGCCCGCCCTTGCGTAACCCCCGCGGCAGGGGGGCGGACTCGCGGCCAGGGCCGGCAGCGCCGCCGAGCGGCCGCCGTGCGCGTTGCACACGCGTGTGCGCCACAAGCGGGTGCCCCCCCCCGCACCACGCCGGACCCGCGCCCGTGCCTGTGCACGCACGGAGGGGGCAGGCGTCCAAAAGCACCCCCGGCAGCAAAGGGGGAGCTGGGAGGCGCTGCCAACCATGGGCGATGCCCCCCCTGCCCCGCCGCCACCTCCGGGGCTTATCTCTGCCCTATGGACCTGGATCTGGAGCTGGACCTGCAGCCGGACCTGGACCCATCAGGACTTTGAACAGCACCTGGTGGGTCACCTGCTGCCCCCCTTCCCTGCGGGGCTGATGATGAACCAGACCCCCCAAGAGAGGCCACACCACAGTGCAGCATCCGCAGAAGCGCTAGTGCACATGTGCCCCAGAGGTGCTGCAGAGGACCCCAAATCCCCTGATCCAGGGGGTGCTGATGGGGCCAGCACTTGGCTGGTGGGTGCAGGACAGGGAGAGGCCTGAGGAGCCCCAGCGTGGGGGTGCTGCCAGTCCCTTTTCTCAGGGAAAGGGCTAAGGGGGGCTGAGCAGTATTTCAGCCTCAGAAAGGGAAACTGAGGCACAGCACAGCATGGCTGCTGCTTAGAGCACATCACTTCCAGCTCGCTCTCCAGCAGTCATACCCCAGCTTCCCACGGCAGGATGAAAACTGCAGTGCCTTGGGCGTTGAAGGCCACAGGCACCCCGGCTGGGACACTGCTCCCCATGAACCACAAGCTGGGCATGTGTGGGTGCCTCAAGACACACCGGTTTGATGTGGGGATGCGAGAAAGCATCTTCTCCTCTTTGGTGGGGACACTGCCCATGGGATGGCTGTTTCTCCGCAGGGAGAAGCGTGGGACTCACTCATCCCCCTGTCTGCAGGGGGTGATGCACATCCCGTGTGCCAGGACCAGCCTGGCCCATGCATGGCAGAGAGCGGGCTTTTGCCCCTAGCCCCGGGGCTGGTGCGTGTCCCCCCCTGCCCGCGGCCAGGCCACACTCACCAGTCCCTCCTCCTGAAGAGGCTCGGGGAATACGGCGGCTGGAAGGCCATGCCGGGCCCTGCGACGCGGCTCCGGCCCCTCTGCTCTCCGGCAGCGCTGCGGCAGTGCCGCTGGTGGCAGGGACGGACGGGTGCCGGCCACATCCCGCGGCCACGGGCACGGGGTAAACAGGGCTGCATGACCTCAGCCGTGCTCAATTGGCTCTTTCAGGGCCCGACGTGCCACCCCGAGCCGTGGGTCCGAGCGGAGAGCGGGGGCCGCCCCCTCCACGGGCACATAAAGCCGCTCTCTGTGCGCCAAAGCCGGGGTGGCAGGCGGTGGCCAGGATGACAGCCCCCGTGACATGGGTCATGGCTCTGTCCTCGCGGCTAGGATGAGCCCAGGCCACCCAGCCCGGGGGGGGTCGGTGGCTCAGTTGCCTGTTGGGGCTCAGGGATGATGCCCGTCTCACTGCACTGAGGGCAGGGGATAAAAGGGGACGCATTTTCTCTTCCACAGTTGGCACGTCACCGGTTGTGCCACCTTCTGTCTCTTGCAGAGGTGGCCAGACCCCAGTCTGCCCCTAGCTCTGGCAGCTGTGCCTCAGTTTCCCCACCAGCTGTACTATTGCATCCCCAGTCCTGCTCCAGCCCTTTTCCCAAAGGAAAACTCCTCTTAGTGCCAGTGCCCAGGGGCTCCAGGATGGACAGACTGGTGCCTGGCTGGTGGCTCTGGCCCCGTGGCTCTGGGTTCCCAGGCCCTGCCTGACACAGTGCTGCAGCACTGAGGGCTGGAGAGAAGCTGGTGATTTCCACGGCTGCTGGAGCGAGAGCTCTGTGCTCCAGGAGGAACCCGCTGCAGCAGTGCCAGCTCCAACACTTTTCCCAGGGATCTGGGACTACTGCAAAAACAAACAGGAGCAAGCGGCCGCCTCCCCACCGCTCTCCTGGGGTGTTTCCCAGCCCTGCACAGCCCTGGCCACGGCCATCGCTGCTGGGGCCGCGGGCTCCCTGCATTGAGGCTGGGAAGGATGCTGCCCTTCCACGTGAGACCCCGGCGGAGGGGCACTTTGTAGGGACGCACATTCAGGGGGCTCTGCGTTCCCTTCCCAGTACTTGATTACCAGGGAGTCCCCAGGCAGGAGCAGCAATGCTGGGCACAGGGGATCCCAGACCACCCCCTGCAACCCCTCGTCCTGGCACCCACTCTGGGTTCATGGCTCCTGCTGCAGACACTGCCGCTGGGTGCCCACGAGCACAGGCACATCTTGCAGCCAGCACACACACACGCACAGAGGCAGGTCCTGCATGCACATGCACATGCACGTGCACACCCTGTAAACACAGGCACACCCACACCATGCACATGTGTGTTCTCTAGCCCGTATGGGCATGCTCCCTACACACAGATGCACCCCCTGCCTGCACTCACACGCACTTGTGCATGCACGCACCCTACAACCCCCACTCCTGCATGCACACCGGTGCATCCTGCACATGCCCTGCAGATACCCCCCCCCATGTCAGACTGACAGCCAAGCACACCTGCGTGTGCACACATGGTCTCAGCGCTGCTCTGCAGGAGCACCTCAGCTCTGCCCTTGTGCACTCTGAGCCCATGGGGCAGCCCCACTGCAGCCCCAGGGTGGGAGCAGCAGCTCACAGCTCTCCGCTGCACCCTGCTCTCTTGCTCGGCATGCCCCAGGGATGCGCTTGGAGCCCTGTGGGCTGTCCAAACACCTCCCACAGCAGCGGAGTCCTGCAGGGGCTCCAGCTGGGTGCTTAGCGGTGGAGGAGCCCTTTCCCAGCCCCCTGTGGCCTCAGCAGCCGCCTGTGCTGGGCTGCTGGCCCCACTCCAGTGGGGATGCTGGTGGCCACTTCCTCTCCCACCGTCCCACTCCTGCTCCTCCAGGTCTGGCAGCAGCAGGGCAGAGTGAGCAATGCCCTCCCTCGCTCTTCCTGAAGCACAGGGGGCCATGGACTTGCTCTCTATGGCACCAGCAGACGTAGTGATGGGTGCCTTGGAGTGGGCTGAGCCGGAGGGGCCAGTGGTGAGAGCTCCATCCCTGGGGCAGCAGCACAGCAGCTCTTGCCTTGCATGTTCAGCTACGGGAGGTTCATCAGGCTCGTGCCTATGGTTATTTTGGGAACAATAAGAGCAGCCGTGACAGGGTGTAATTGTGACACCAATTGTTGCACTCTCTGGGGGAAAAACCCCGTGGCTGTCATTGAGCAGCTGGAGAGCTGCTGGCACTGGTGAACAACGAGTGTCACCCCAGCAATGGCCCTGCAGGATACCCCAAAGCTGTTGTACCAACACCTCAGCCACACACAGGCTGTGCCCCCGCCCGGGGGATCCAGCCCCAGTGGCTGGGTGATGTTTAGCAATAACCCCTCCCCTGCAACAGGACTTGGGGGGCAGAGCTGAGCCTGGCTGGAGCACAGGATGACAAGGGATGGGATCACCTCTCACCCCCTGGCACCCCACATCAGCCCTGTGCTGTGGGTCAGGGGCACATCCCCACAGCCCCAGGGATGAGGCGCTGAGTGCCATGAACTGAACCTGCACCAGGCACTGCGGAGCCACACACTAAAGGATGCCTTCGCTTCCTCCATGCTCGTAGCAGCTGGAACAGTGGCTGCAGGAGCCGTGCTGGCCCCTCAGCCTCTCCCCCTGCTCCTGGCCACTCGCTCTGCTCCGTGGCAGCGTTCCTGGCTTGCTGGCTCCCAAGGACTC